TCTGGACGCTCGATTGGCCGTGGCCACCTCCTGTCCTGTGCAAACTGACTGACTGACTGAACTGAACTGAACTGCGCTACAGTTATGGCGAAGAGCGGCATTTGGACGATGCTCTCCTACCGCGTTGTGTGTTCCTCGGGCCGCTGTGCTTTCGGCAGTACGGCTCGCAGCCTCCAGACTAGACTCTCGGTTGGCAATGGCGGCCTTTTGCGACCAAGTGGATTGAAGGAAATCGTAAAAGCTGGCAAAGGCAGCACAAGCCAGCAGGTGCGTGAACAAGCACAAAAGGAAATGCAAGCTTTCTGGGAGAGAAACATCAAAGAAAAACGGCCATGGTCACCTCATCTGACCGTTTATTCTCCACCATTAGTGATGCGGTTCTCGTTTCTTCACCGAGCAACGGGGATTGCAATGGCAATAGGTAAGCGATCCAAAATTTGTCCGTAATGAAAATTCTCAATTGATGTTCGATATACACGAGGTGGACGTGCCGTCCAGAAACGTCTCTGCCTCAATCTGAATCCCTTTGGGGAACGGTGGTATTTTCACTCTACAGTTGAATAATGAACTTTTTCAAATTTATTCTTTTTACAAAGGCATGTTAATCCGTAGGAAACGGACGGGTTTGTAGCGGTTCCTCTCATGCGAACAATGCAGTGAAGTAACGCTAGCTAGCGATGTTTCGTGTATTTTTAACGAACAAACTGTCCACAATAACCAAAGCCTGCATTGAACCGACTAAATAGAATGATAAAAGTGAGATCCGGGACCATTGGGCCTAACATCGAACCCGTGAAATACTTCAAGACTACTCTACATTGTGCCCTAATTGGCTGAAGTGTTCACGTTAGCCGTGCGGACCCACCCTAGAGACTTGATGAAAATTGCTATTCTTTAGGAGTATGCCATGTGCGACCATTGACTTAACCAGAAAGCTAATCGTCTAGTAAAATATTGTAGAAAAAATGTGAAGGGATTTTCTATAAATTTTCAACATAAAAATGTATGCCTGATGTGTTGCACAAAATTTTCAGTAATTGGGCAATGTCTGAATTAGGAAATAAAATCGCATTGCACGTCATCCAGATAATCAAAGTCATGTCACCGATAGATGTCATTTTTCAGTCTGCGTTAAATGTGGCTCCAAAATGCTAGCGGTGGTAAAGCTTGCACGCTGCGTACACCCCTCTCTCTGCCTTTTGAGTAATCCACACCCCCATCCCAGCTGTCTCGTAACTCTTGAAGGTGCCTTTGAGGCCCACAAATACGTTCTCTCTAAATATTTTTACTCCCCCAGGTTGGGGGTTCGACTTGAGTTGGCGTCTCAGTCGATAAAACGTGTTGGAGGAATAATTAATCCAAGCTAATGGGCCTCCAATCCACCTTAACCGCTGCCTTGCGGTTAGGTTTTTGTCAAAACTAAAGGCTTTGGTTGAGAACTCTAATCGATCTCCTGCTTAGTGGCTGGACACCCTGGCGGTACCCGTCCATAAAGCTCCAATGACCACAAAAAAATAATTTCATACTGCTTCGGTCGTCGCGCAGGATAATCAGGACCGCGCTGCTCATTGCATCGAGCGGGGTGGGTAGTGATGAGTGGGCTACTGCTCTGAAATCCCAACCTTTGTTTAACTCTTTGTCTTCCGTACTCAACCCTATCCCTTTACCCCTTCTTCCGACCCGTGATATTCCCTCAGACGACTTGGTCGTCACTCGCCAAAGGTCTTTGCCAAATAGCACTGTAACTAGTTTTCCTGTAAATAAAATGCAGATTCTGAAACCTCGTCAACCTCTCAATCTGGGGGCTTTCAACGTAAGGACTCTTATGCAGGTGGCGTGTCTTGCGCGTACAATGGAGTCTCTAGAAGTCGATGTCTGTTGTGTATCGGAAACACGATTTCAGGATCCTAGTACTATTAGCCGCCTGAATGTGCCCGGTCTGTCCTCGAGGTATTTCCTTCGCACCTCAGGAGACGACGGAGCCCGCTCAGTGGGTCCATACTAAACGATAAAAGTGAAGTCTATGATAGATTGGATACCCGACAATAGTCGTTTGTGCGCAATGAGGCCACAGGGTTCAGTTAGTATTCCGAAGGGCAGCAACACCAAAAGGTGTTTATTCATCATATCCGCGTATGCGCCAACCAACTGCACTCCGGCTTCACAGGACCGGTGTCGCCTGCAACGTCAACTCCTTGGGTGGTAACATTCGAGCCCCCATCAGAATCAAAGTACCGAAGCTGCATTCAATCATTAAAGAAAGGAAAGGCTGCGGGACCTGATGGGCTTCTCCCTATTCTTTCCAAGGTGGTCGGAGATTCTCTTGCCGACTCAATTACTAGCTTACTTCACAGCATTTGGACGGAGGAGTGTATCCCTTTGTCTTGGGGGGAATCGACGATCGTCCCTATTTTCAAGAAGGGATCACGCGACGACTGCGCTAACCATCGTGGGATTAGTTTAGTTCCGATAGTCACAAAAGTGTTGACTTCTATGATACTTCGCCACCTGACACCCTTAAGAGAGAGGAATATCCACGAACGACAAGCCGGATTCCGACCAGGTCGCGTCAAGTCCTCGAACTGCGTCACAGACGTTGTCGGCCAACAATCGCAGTGTTCCTTGACCTAAAAAGAGCCTTCGATTCAGTTGACCATGAAGTTCTTCTAGGGTCGCTACTCCGCAAAGGAATGCCATGGAAGTATGTAAACCTATTGCGGTCGTTGTATCCGCATACTTCTGGTAGCGTAAGGGTCTACGGCGGGCTAAGTAAATCTTTCGAAACCAGGAGCGGTGTCCGTCAAGGGTGCCCTATTTCGCCATTCCTGTTCAACTTCGTCGTAGAAGTTCTGGAGAACGCACTTACTGGTCTCCAGAACGTAGGTATTGAATGGACGGCTGGAGAAAGATGTGCGATTTAGAGTACGCTGATGACATCGTATGTCTGTTTGAATCCATGGAGGATGCGCAATGCGCTCTTGACAGCCTAGCAAGTTCTGTATCTCCTTTCGGCATGCGCTTTGTACCTTTAAAGTGTAAAGTGATTGTAAGGTGCACTGGCTCCGTCTACGCGTGGCCCTGGTTAGTTAACTAGACGGTATTACG